GACGTTCCATGTCCCAAAAACCAGTTTTCTTGTCCGGGGATCGGACCGCCAAGGCCTTGGTCTGCCACCCGATCCACATTGCACCGGACCCTTCATGTTCCTCCTGCGGGTGGTGGGTCCACAGTTGGATGAGCCAATGTATCCTGTTCGGGCTGGGCCCGGCCGGGCCCCATGGGCGAAAGCCCGGCCACCAGGCGCTCGCTCACGGGCCCCAACCCCAAGCCTGGTTCCAGGGTGGGACCCCAGTAACCCTCCGGGCCGGGTACTCCGACTCTGAATTTACCTCCATGAAAGATTCTGTGAACCGTTCTTTGTCTCACCCTTCACCTGAGACCAATTTGTCATGGGAGACCCTACCAGGGGCACAAAGTGCACCAGACAACATAGCTCCTAGGATCATTAGGGTACTCAAACTCCTCCACCACGATAAGGTGATGGTTCAAGGAGGAGCTGTTAACGCCTGAAATATAAAACCATACTAATAAAAATGTTAAGTATTGTCTAAAGTTAATAAATCAACCATTTAAAAATCTGTTTCAAACCCTTGTGTTAATCTATAACAATATAACAGCAATAGACAAATAAAACAGGTTCATGCCAGATCCTCCATCAGAGGGCAGTAGGAGGACAGCCATCCTGATCAGGCACGTGCAGAGGGGGGTGCGGAGGGTGCTTGAGAACCTGCCCCTTTTGTCCGAAGTGCCCAAAGTGCCCTTTTTCCGGTCGTTCGTCAGATTTTACAGTACAAAACTGTTATACTGTGATAGAAATCGGGCACTAGGACCATGCGGAGGCAGCCGCCTCAAGCTGAAGGCTATTTTCCCTTAGACCCGCCTACAAGCTCACTGATTGGCTCTGCCGCATCATACTAACGTGTGATTGGTTGTCCTTGCTGTCACTCTACCTTGTAGCCATGGAGACGACAGACCGGTGTTTTCCCTGCGGACAGGAGTCTGCGTTCATCTACCTGTAAGTTTGTTTTCTGCCTGCTTCACGTCAGCTGGATAGATTTTAATATCAGAGCTTTTGTTTACGTGTGTTTGAGTCCGTGGTTAGTGTGTGTGGAGCAGTCAGGTAGCTGCATGTCTGGGACAGAAAATGAGACATGAGAGAGAGTTCTCCTGAAGTGTTGAAGAAACTCAAAGAATCAATGTCTCACTCTAGATTCTCCGGGTCATAACTTCTGAATTACCTATCGAATAAAAATACTTCAAACGGGTTCTAAAAGTACATAAAACGAGCTTTCCAACGAGTATTACATGATGTAATTCACGTTACTCCAAAAATCGCTATTAGAGGGAAACCAGCTTTGCAGCGTCACGGACAGAAACGGAGGAACCGCGAAGGGAGAGTAGAGAACCAAAGGGAGGAGATGATCTGATCATCTTCATCAGCAGCTTTTATAAAGTTATGGAAACGTCACAAATAAAATCCACCTGGTTGGTCAGGTGTCCCAGAAGGCTGTTTCTGTAGATGGTGACATGAGGAGGGATAGATAAAAGGCACACTGGTTTTTATTTGAACACTCAACTGTTTACTAAATGATTCAGCTTCATTCCAGCATTATTTATACGTACAATAAATATTTATTTAGCTGAAAATATAATTTTATCAGTGCAGAATTTTATTAGTTGACTTTTTGTAATGAAATGTTTACATTTAACCATTTATCTGGCTTGTTGATCTTCATAATGCTGGTAGAAATGTAGCCACAGCTGTGAAGTAGCCCATGAGTGTTATTTTATGATACCTAGTATTTATTTTACTGTATCCCGTTCTCTGGACCAGAGCGTAGACCTGTGGTCACAGACAGGCTGCAGTCATTAAACTGGTTAACATGAGGTCAGGGGTCACACTGTTTTCTGAGTGTTTGCAACACAGTTCTGAGTTTAAATAGTTCTTTTCACATAGTTTGCTCAAGTCATTTTGAAGTTCCTGTTTAGTAATAAATGTAAAGAAAATTCAAATCTGTTTTTTTTTCCATTTAAGCTGCAGTTTTACAGACTTTAATAAACATAAACACAAATACAAACTAGACACTGAAAGCTGAGGTTGTTCTGAAAAAAGGAGCAGAGTTACAAACATTTTACACTTTATTACAATTTTAAAGCCATAAAACAAAAAAAAATACTTGTTATATTTATGGTCATAAGAGGGTTAAACGTGATACATTTCCCACCTCCCACAAAGAGATGGTAAAAGTGAATGTGAGCATAATTATATACGTTTTATTACTTTATTATGTATTTTTTATTATTGACTATTACTCCAAAGAGTTCAGATGAAGGCAACTGGACTTCTTTGGTTTCTTTAAAACGTTTCACTTCTCCTCTGAGGAGCTTTGTCAGTTCTAAATGGAATATGGGAGAGTCAAGCTCATAAGCTGTAGCTGTCTGTTATTTATTTAAAGAGCAGAAACTACTCTGAGTACCCCGCCTCTCCATCTCCTGATGAGTCGTTAGCCTCTATTGATGATGAGTCATCGTGTTGATTAGATGCAGGAAGGTGTGACCTAGACTGAAACTGAATGAGATTCAAAAAAAAGTTCTAATCTTTTAAACAACGCTGTTGGTCCTCTTGGTCCTTGTTCTGGTTTACTAAAACCCTGTGTTAAAAACCTTGGTGTGTTTTTAGACGGTTCTTTTAATCTTTACAGACAGGTGAGTGCAGTGGTCCAATCAGGTTTTTATCATTTAAGGCAGATAGCAAAGGTGAAGCCATACCTTCCTGCTAATGTCCTCAAACATGTCATCCACCTGTTCGGTCTTGCCGATTGGACTACAGCAACTCCCTGTATTCTGGCCTGGACCAGTCCTCCCCACACCGACTTCAGCTGGTCCAAAATGCAGCGGCTCGCTTGCTGACTGGAACCAGCAAGTGGGATCACATAACCCCGGTTCTGGCCTCTCTCCATTGGCTTCCTGTCTCTTACAGGATCCGTTTCAAAATTTTACTTTTTGTTTTTAAATCCCTTCATGGCCCGGCCCCAGTCTACATCTCTGAGCTGCTGTCCACTTACGTCCCTGCCAGAACCATAAGGTCCAGCTCCCAAGCTCTTTTAACAGTTCCAAAAACCCGCCACAAGACTCGCGGCGACAGAGCGTTCTCTGTGGTTGGGCCCAAACTGTGGAACAAGCTACCTCTCAACATCAGGACCACACAGAATCTAGAGCATTTTAAATCCCTTCTTAAGACGCAATTTTTTGATTTGGCTTTTAATGCAGGCTGACTTGAGCATCTTAACAGTTTTTAACAGTTTTTATCATAGATTGTGACTGTTGTGTGCTCATCTTATTTTAGGTTGTTATTGTTGATTTGTTGCATCTTGATTTGTTTTACCTTGTACAGCGCTTTGGTGTAGCTTTGCTGCTGTAAATGTGCTCTGTAAGTAAAATTGACCTTGACCTTGACCTTGACCAAAGCTGCATTATTGGTACTGGAAAGGTGAAATCTAAGCCCCGCCCCTATTTAAAGTGGGGTTTTCACGTTTTGACATAGATAGCTTCTTTTACTCCTCTCTCAAATCATCTATCTTCTCTGTCCAGAATGTGGACTTTGTCATCTTCAAAGATGTGACCCTTGTCCTTCAGGTGAAGGTGGACTGCAGAGTTTTGACCTGAAGAGGTGGCTCTCCTGTGTTGTGTTATGTTCTTGTGTAGTTGTTGTTTAGTTTCTCTAATGTAAACATCTGCTGGACAGTGCTCCTACACTGGACTGCATAAACGACCCCACTGAGCTTCTGTTTGGGAGTTTTGTCTTCTGGATGGACCAGGTTCTGTCTGAGGGTGTTGTTGGGTTAAAGTTTACCGGGATGTTGTGTTTGGAGAAGATTCTTCTAAGTTTCTCTGAGACTCTTGCCACGTATGTGATGATGGTGCCTTTGTGTAAAGGGTGTTCTTGTTAGGTTGGTAGCAGAGCTCTCATGTTTAGTGTTAAGTTCAGTGAGATCATGGAATGGGATCAAGAATTTTCTACTGAAAGGAAAAAGATCTCAGCTAACATAGCTGTAGATCACACTGGATAAGTCTCTGTGGTTGCATTTATTTTACTACCTCTTACTAGAGCTGTCTTTAGTAAGCACACAATATCTTTGGTTGTACACCTGTGCAGTAGCAATAAAGTATCTTGATTTCTGTTAAATGTACTTCCTGAATGAGTGACATTTTCAGGCTAAAACAACAAAATGACAAATACAGACAGAAGGACGACTTCTTTCTTCTTTTATAATGCATTGCATCACCACCTGGTATCAGAACAGGACTCAGTGTTGGAAGACAATCAAAAATCAAACAACTTGGACACTCAGATCAGAGGCAAAAATGTGGTTGTAACACCTCTAGATATAAGTCAGCTTTAAAAACTAAAACTATTATTTATGAACTAACATTAACACTAATGACACTAATTTATATATTTTTATTATGTTGTTTGAACCCAAGGGTCTCATTATCTGAATTTTCTAACTTATTGGATCGCTCTATAAGTGCCCCTTTTTTTACTTTGAGCACCCGCCCCGTCAAAGGTCTCTGCACGGCCCTGATCCTGATGATGGTACTAATCTTGATACTCCATCTGAGACCCTTGCCACATGTATGGTAAGGTTAGAGCCACCTGGGAAAACTCAAAATGTAAAATAAATGATAAAGTGAGAAAATAATCAGAATTGCACCATGACAGTTTACTTCTTCACTGTGTTTTTTGGGTGGGTTACTAATATTTTAACATTTTATAGCCGACCGAATCTGCATGCTGCCTTCGGTTCAGCTACACCGTGTTCATCACAAAATTAGTTAATAAATATGATTTCACATATTTAGATTTAATCTTATATTTGGATCTAAATATATTTTAAGATTATGAGTCGGATTATGCAGCATTTTAGAAAGATAATGTGAGGAAAAGGTGATTTTAAAAACGCACACCCCACTTTAATGTTTTTATACAATCGGACCCCCCATAGACTTCACGTCTGCGCATTTCCTCGTAGACAGCGCGTAAACGACGTTTTGACGCGTGAAATGTGGAGCCCGTGACGCTGCTCGCCTAACGGATTTCCCCACCGCCGCTGCAGCCTGTCGGGGAGCTGTAGCTGCAGCAACCAGGGCGCATTCATCTGATCTTGGCTGCCACTTGATGCCGCTGACCTTGGCTGGCTGGCTGGCGGTGATCACCCCTTTAACACCGCGCTTCGGTCCTCAGCATGGCATCCTCGTCTTCCTCTTCCTCCTCCTCACCATCCAACGGGCTGGATGGAGACTGCGTGCTGCAGCGTGGAAGATCTCAAAGTGACCCGAGCAGCATCACGGAGGTGCGCTCGGGTGAAGCCCACGGAGCAGGTAGGAGCGTGAAGGAGGTCCGCCTGATCCTTATCGCAGCTGTGTGGAGACGGGGGTGTTGGGTGAGTCACATGTCGGTGTTCACCTGCGCACCTTCGGTGATTCCGCTCATTTGTATGCAGTGAGCGTCGCTCTGCTCTGACTCTTGCTGCCCTGATCAGGTCTGTGATGTTCCGAGATCTTCCAGATGCTTTCAACTGGTGTCACAGATCACGTGATCCCCGATGATTGCACTTCAGTGCACTCAAAGCTCTCTAACTGTTTTCCCGAGGATGACATGTACAGGTTTTCCTATCTGAGGAGGAGAGGGCTGCTGGTGTATTTGGTTGTTTCCATGGTGATCGAAATGGCAGGAGGCAGAGCCAGGCTTTCCCACTGTGAGCTGACATGGTGCTGGTCTGTCTGTTCCACTTTCCCTTGCTCCCCCAACACAGTGATGTGAAGCAGCAATGATTTGAAGTGAAATGCCAGAGAGCATTTGGGGTTCATGTGTGAGGAGCAGAAGCAGGAGGAGGTGGGAGAGGAGGGATTTCTGATGGGAGTCTTTGGCCTCCTGCTCCTCGTTGCTCAGCAGCTAAGCAGCAGTTGTCTATGAGGGGTATAAGAAGCCATGGGCTGATATGAAGACACAGTTAAATATTTTATTTTGATCTACAAGCAGCCATGTTTTGTGGCTTTCCAGAAGAACACACACAGTGCAGCTGTTTGTCTGCAAATATGGGCTCATGCATTTAATCACAGTCAGGTGCACAGCTCAGGATTCCTATTTTACAGGTACAGCGCTGTAGAATAGCTTAGCCTCACAGACTTCATCTGGCTTTATTTTTTATAACAATTTAATGTTTTAGATCCACAAACAAAATCCAATAACAGGCAAAAGAATCTTTGGTATGTTCTCACTGTGTCTAGTTTCCATCCGCCCGCCCGTCCGTCCGTCTGTCCATCCATCCATCCATCCATCCATCCATCCATCCATCCATTCATCCGTCCATTTTCTGAACCCGCTTGTCCATGTAGGGTCGCGGGGGGGGGGGGGGGGGGGGGGGGGGGGCTGGTGACTATCTCCAGCAGTCAATGGGCATTCAGGCGGGGTACACCCTGGACAGAGAGCCAGTCCATCGCAGGGGTGTCTAGTTTCTAATTCCATTTTTGGAGCAAAAAAAGAAGCAGAAAGTACAATAAAGAAGTCAGCCGTAACAGATCACTGCACAAGAGAAAACCATATAATGGACTGGGACAACACAAGGATCGTAAACACCGAACAACAAAAATACAAAAGATGGATAAAAGAAGCTATAGAGATAAGGAGACGTGGATGTGGGACCATGAACAGAGACGATGGAGTTTACACATTGGATCGTGCACGGGATTGCATCATCGGAGAGGGGAGAGCGGGCAGCAGAGGGCGACAACGTTCTTTGCTGCCCGCGGATAAACGGAGTAGGAAGTGACGCCACCATCAGCGTCAGCTCTGAAGTTGTTTTGCAGTCGGCAAATGACACGTCAGCAAGGTAAAGAAAAACCTCATCTGTGTTTTAAAAAGAACCAAAAATGGAATTAGGCAAAAGTAACCATGAAAATATAAAACACTGATTTTATTTTTTTATGAAACAATCCAGTCAGAGCCGGCCCAAGGCATATGCAAACTAAACAACTGCTTTGGGCCCCCACATCACCAGAGGGCCCCCCAGGAGCACCAAGGTGACATGAGTAAAAAACAATGTCTCTGTATTATTTTCTGTAGTGTCATTTGGTTTTAGTTTGTAATGCAGCACACTTTACACGTTTCAAATTTTAAAAACAAAAGATAATAAACCAAAGTTAAATTCAGTGTTTGTCTGCTGATGTTTCTTTCAATTAGCGGAATTAATCTGCCACACTTGAATAACACTCATCGTTTTAAAATGCAAATTAATTCGAGCGTGGTTTGTTGCTCCGATAAAGTTAAAATCAATATTCACGACTGATGTAAGCTAATTACAAAAGATGCTAAGGATAGTGGGCATGTTACACAAATGGTGCAGCTTAAGAATGATGAATCATCTGGTGTTGGCTTCTTGGTTTGGGGGCCCGAAGGGAAACCTGCTTAGCGCCCCACAATGGCTTGGGCCGGCCCTGAATCCAGTGACTGTGTTGTTAAACCGTGAGTTAACCATAATTAACCACATCATAGCTGAGTTGGATTTCAACATAACACCTAGAGCTGATCTCCACCAGACATGTAGAAGTAAGAAATCCCTTCCTAAAAGATCTCAACAAGCAACACGTGCCTCATTCTAAACACATGTAACAACATCAGATCAAAACCTAACAACTCAAAGACCCGACTCATATTTATAAAACATAATCTTCATGATACCAAAGGCCTCTGATGAAATACGCTGTGGGCAGAGGCGACAGAAGCAGAACTTTCTGGAAGGTGTGTTTCTTGTTCATCGTAACACGGTGGTGGTGGTGTGATGGTCTGGGGCCGCTCTGCTGCTTCAGGACCACTTCCTGTAACTGATGGAACCAAGAATTCTACTCTCTAGCAGAATACCCTGAAGAGAACGCCCTTGACCTTAAACAGACTGTTCCTGCAAGAAGCCTTCCAATGTGGCTGAATTCAAACAATTATGTAAACGAAAGTTGGAGAAAATTCCTCCATGATGAGCTGTGCCAGTTAAAAACCCGGTCCAGTTAGGTTTAGATTTAGTTCATTATTTTTGGATCGTTTGACTTCTAACAATTTGCACGATTATTTGAAAACTACATTTTGTGTTTCCGTGGACCATCATTGTCTGAAAATGAAACCAAATCTGTAAAGGAGTGGTTGTTCCTGTCTGATCTGTAAACCTGAGGGCCGCAGCCGCCCTGTGGAGGATCCTCATCTTCTCTTTGACAGCGGTGGCTGCTGCTGTGTTCCAGGGCTCGTCACGTCGTCCCGGTGGTTATGTAACCGTGTCCCTTCAGCAACACCACAAGGATGTGATCTACTCTTGCTCTATCATTTTCGACCTGATATGTGCCCCCCACCCCCCACCCACACACACACACACACGCCCATAGCAGCCTTCCACAGTTTTAGTCTTCTCCAGAGCAGAAGCAGACAGACGGGGTCTGGACAATGCAGTGGTCCCCCCCTTCCTCCCAGCACCTCCACCCTTTCTGCTCAGTGCTAACCCTCTACAGCCATAGCTCCCCTGCTGTGACTTTGATCCTGGCACTTGAGAAATGACACCCATTAATGGGGATAAAAAGAGCAGTGATGGATCTCTGATGGGGTATTATCAAGGTTTCCTGCTGGGTAATGTCACGGTGAATCAGGCACATAAAAGACTCAATAGATTTTTTTATGAATTATTTTCACATTCATTGTGTTGGGGGAGTGTGAGGAAAAAATAATCTGTGTAAAACCATGAAGAGACGTAAAAATAGAGTAGGTTTTCCATTGCTGAAAAATGTGCTGCTTTGTTAAAACAGCCCAGCTGTGAGTTGTCCCACCTACTCATCTGCACACAGTCATGGTGAGTTGTGGAGCAGCAGACGGAAAAAAAGTGTCTATATATCACCAAAAGGTCTGACCGGATCATCAAAATCTAATTCAGCACCAACTCTGCTGGGCCGGAGGACAGAACCTTTTTGAACATGAGCAGGAAGCAGATGTGGGGAGCACCAAGTTTATTACATCCTGACTTTCAAGTCAAAGAACTCTTCTTTACGTAAACGTACAAAACAAGCTAGGCGTTGAGTGCAAACAGTCATGGAACACTGTTATTAAGGAGGATCCTATTCTTAATTTAACAGGCAGCCAATGTAGGGAAGCAAAAACTGATCTCTCTTTTTATTTCTCATCAGAAGTCTAGCTGCAGCACTTTGGACTAGCTGAAGACTCAACTGAAGTCTGTGGGCTTTCTGATAGTAATAAAGAGCATTCAGAAGCAACAAGGAACACCAAGACCCATCCTTGGATGTGTTTAGATAAACCATCTCCCTACACTGTGATCCTCTGCAGAAACCCAAAACAAAACAAAGAGAAATCTAAAATTCCCACGCCGAGATGTTGTCCGTAACTTAGATGATGTTTGTTCACCAGCAGTGGAAAACCAAATTGGTGCTTAACTCTCAACATTTTGGGTGTTTTAACCACTGCTGTATTTAGTTTGTTTAAAGAGAAAGTCAATCCCAAATCAACTCAGTGACCTAGTGGTAGAGTGTCCGCCCTGAGACTGGGAGATCAGGGTTCGATTCCTGGTCGGGTCATACCAAAGACTTTGAAAAAATGGGACCCAATGCCTCCCTGCTTGACACTCAGCATTAAAGGGTTGCATTGGGGGGGTTAAACCACCAAATGGTTCCCGAGCGCGGCTGTGTCTGCAGCTCACCGCTCCCCCAGGGGATGGGTCCAATGCGGAGAACAAATTTCGCACACACATCAGTGTGTGTGACAACTAATGGGACTTTAACTTTAACTTTTGTTTTTGCTGATAAACTAAATAAATGGGTGTCTAATCATGCTGTAGACACGTGCGCCCTCTTCAGGTAAAAACTCTGATTTGAATTTAAATCTGCCATTCCTATTGGCTAAGAGGTACCCTATGATCTTAGCTGGTACCATATGATGTCACAATGTGGCTGTGAGCCTGTGTGTGTATTTGTTAGTGACCCCGCCCTCTCAGTCTGCTAGGCAGCGCCTCCTTGTGGTGTGTTTTTCAAACAGGAAATGGGAGTGGAGTACTACTCTGGTTTGGTTCAATCTCTCATTGATGGAAAGCACTTATAACTTATAAATAAAGTTGATGATGATGATGATGATGATGGTAGGGGGTAACTTGCTCTTTAAAACAAATTGGTGTTTGTCTGTGTGTACAGATGTGAACATGGTAATTGCAAACAACCAAGACTCATTCAAGGAGGTGGATTGTGACTGGGTAGTTACGTCACACTAAGCTACCAGGAGTACGCGTCAAGTCTGAGACAATCTACTTCCTGATGCAGCTTTTTTTGCTCTGGTTTGGAAC